GGAGCCTTACACATGGTTTGTGGAGCATGCCAGGATCTCCTCTTCCTGAGCTGGAAAAGGGGTTCTGCTATAATCAGTCATGTGCAAGGGCTATTTCTTCTTGTTTGTGAGCCAAGGATGGGAGAAGTAGGTGAAGGGAAGGGTGGGGAGGAGTGTCAGCAGGGTTAGTGTCAGCAGGAGGTTCAGCCATACATACCACCCAGATGCAAGTCGATGAGGTCACTGTAATAAGACTCTCCCCAATAGTCTACAACAAGGAATTGGTGAAGACAGAGTTATTGAATCAGATACCCACCCTAGCCCCACACAATCAAAGCAATATATGAGAAAAAGACATAGAAACAAAAAAAAGGCAAACAAGAGACAGGCAGCTATAGACATGGGCACACACACATATATATATATATAAAAAAACTATAGGTCTCTCTTTCTCTGTATATATACATATATGTACACACACACACAAACATACCACAAACATATATATTGGGAAGATGAGGAGAAAGTTTCCAGCAGGCAGGCAAGGACTTCCAAGAGGGAAAACCAAGAAGTCTACACAGAGACACTTCACCTATTTCCGTCTGCACCAGTACCTGTCACTGAGGTCTCTCCTGTTCTTGCTGAGAAAAGCAGAGTTAATCTTGTTGGTTTCATGCTGAGCAATATGTCAGAAGGAGATAGTGTAAATTCTTAGGTCAGCTGCAGGAAAGGTGTAAGGATTGATTTCTTGGAGGCGAGTGAGTGAGGATGTGTGTACGGGACACGGGTGGAAGGCACTGACCGAGCGTCGACACAAACGGCAAACGCGTCGGTGCAGGAAGATGGGATTGTGTGTTCCTGCTGATGCAGTCCCTGTGCCAAGGGAAGAACTGCACAGCAGTGTGGAGGACAGAGATGTGTATTTCCACAGCTCCTAGAGACAGGTGCATGAGTCCAGGGCTGTGGAACATTTTGTTGGGAAAAGACAGATGGGAGTACTGAGAGCAATATTTCTCACTGCATACGATTCGCTTGATGTAAAGAGGTGGCTCTTAAATTTTTCAGTATTGATCTGACAGTAGGAGACGTTTACCAAGCTCTTAAAATGACTATCAAGGTTTATGCTAAAGGGAGAAAAAGAAAGGTTCCAGAAATTTCTGATTTGACATATTTTTAAGTTAATAATTGAAAAAAATAAAAATTCACACAGGAATTCAAAGTCATTAGCATGTCCAAACAGGCGAATGCACTATATTACGAAGTACTTTTGTGTTAGTAACATTACCTTACATTAATTAACTCAAGGTGTCTCTTGGGACACCACAGAAAACTGGGAAAATTCTTCACTGAGATCCTGCTTTACCCTTGCAGTGAAATATCATGATGCAGGAGGAAGGGGGGGTGGGGTAGGAAAAAAAGGGATGACAAAAGCTTAGACCACCTGAATATGACAAACTTGCCACCTGAAATAGAGCTTACATTGTCACTCAAAATAGAGCTTACATTCCAAATCATTCATTCTTGCTACGAATGCAACTATCAAAGGCTGAGATTTTCAAAGATAATCACAGAGAACACATTAAGGCAATTAAATAATCATAGGGTGTGAGATCATTTCCAGAATCAGAAACTAAATGCTCAATTGAGCATTCAGCTTTTAAATGAATAGAAGACCAACTGTGCCTTGCCTGAGGCTGAGCTAATTTAAAACAAGAAAAGACAATGAGGTAGCCAGAAGGTGCAATTATTTTGTCAAAAATTAAAGTTGATGGTGACCTCCAAAATGTTTCTGAGTTTGATTAGTTGAGGAGGAAGTATCATCCTATAAATATTCCAACTCGACAACTATTAGAAAATGGGTGAAATTCCTGGAAAGAATACTGAGCTGTCAGTACCTATTCCCTAAACTAACTGTAACCTCTCAGGACAGCAGGGCATAGCTGAGAAGAATTTATTGACAGTCTGCTCAGCATAAGTCACTTGACAATAACATATTAAGGATGATGGAAAATTGATGGAAAATAGAAGTAAAATTATTCCAAGTAAAGACATTTTTACTTAAGAGTTTGTTTTCTTCCCAGTCCGACTGAAAAATACTTTTTTATAAAAATGGAAAGTGGTCCAGATCTGAGGAAAGTTAATAGAAGACCTCTACAGGAGAAAAATTTGAAATTCTTTGCAGACAGGAAAGATGACTAAAAGTCAACATATTAAAAGATGATAAGAGAATGAGTTCAGATGGTCTTCTCTATCTTCTTCTATAATACAAAAATAAAAGAATCATTACAAGTTACAGAATTCTGTTCCTTCTGTCAGAATTTTAAAGTAGTGGGAAACCACTGCTATCTAAAACTCCATATTTAAATGCTTGTCAGTGAGTGACTTGTTCTTTCCCTACAGAGCCCAGTATGTTCTCCTAGAACCAGTTAATACTGGTTGCTGTCCATGGAAGAGCCATTACTTGGATCCTGCACTGCAGTCCTTCTCTGTTTATGTGGACAAGGTATGTGCACAGGAGAGTCTCACCCTCCCCCATTGCTTCTCATTAAGTACAAGTTTATACAGAGATTTTTTTTTTTTAGGAGGCAACACCACTTTATACACTGTCTTTCCCTTTTCAAACTTCTGTTTTCATGGTTTCACTAGGGGAGGGACTGATCAGAGACAAGGCCATGACTCCACATCTTTACACGATGGTTCTGGCTGAATGTTAGGTCAGTGTCTTGCACAGTGCAGATAACAAGAAAATTATATTACTCTCTTGAATAATTAATGGATATTGGAGGCAGAAATTTATTGTATTTAGGAAATGTGATGCCATAGACCTTTTGTTATTCTACTGCAAACATATGTAAAATGTCTGGAAAAAAGGAGGCTCTCTACAACTACCTGAAAGGATGTTGTAGACAGGTGGGGGTTGATCTCTTATCCCAAGTAACAAGCAAGAGAACAAGAGGAAATGGTCTCAAGTTGTGCCAGGGGAAGTTTAGATGGGACAGCAGGGAAAATTTCCTCATGGAAAGGGTTGTAAAGCACTAGAAGAGGCTGCCCAGGGAAGTGGTTGAGTCACCATCCCTGGAGGTATTTAAAAGATGTGTGGATGTGGCACTTGGGGACCTGGTTCAGTGGTGGGCTTGGCAGTGCTGGGTTAATGGTTGGACTCCTAATCTTAGAGGTCTTTTCCAACCTAAATGATTCTCTGATTCTATGGCCATGCAAGAGTAGCTAGAGAGGTGAAGCATGAAATTATTCATAATGTGTTTCAGGTAACACAGGTTAGAACATGCCAGGTTTTTCCCCCAACAGAATGTGTTCCCTGTTAATCACCTGAAAAAAGTGAAAGAATTGAGGATGGGGAATTCTTTATGTCAGAGCTAAGCTTCTGTAAACATAATGTAGGACCTGTTGGCAGAAACATGTTGCAAGAGCAAAGCACGCCCTAGAGAATTCCTGAAGAAAAGAGATTTCAATTTTGCAAAGGGTGACCTACAATTTCACAACTCTGCTTGAAAATTCACAAATACATAAGCTCATCTAAAACTGCTTCCATTTAGGAGAGCTGAGAGCAAGAAGTTAGTGAGACAAAGGTTTAATTCTGCAGCCTCCCATACAAAATACTAATTCTTACTTTTGGTCATATTCTGCCCTCTCTGAACATTTTTTAGTCATTCTGTCATTCTTCAATGAGAGAGCACTCTACCATGAATAATGTTTTCTCAGCTACTAAGACCTGCAACTTGTGCTGGCATGCCTTACATGAAAGATGGACTTCCAGGTGAAAAGAAGAAAAATGGAAAGAACCATTGGATATTAAGGAGGTGGGTTTAGTAAGGGCAGTGACTGGCAGGCCAGAGAACAGAGTAGGGCTACACAGGAACACACAGCATAAGGAAGGAGGCACCACCGCAAAGACAGAATATTTGCACAAGGCTATTTTTCTGAACCCACAAATGAAAAAGACACTCTGATCATAAAACCATTGAAGTCCTCAAGACTGTTCTTCACACTATTTTCTTTGGTGACCACTCAGTCCTGCTGCTTTGGCACACCCTTATGGAGCATCAGACATACCTAATTCTGTCCAAATAGTAACTGATGGGAAGTCCCAAGAGACTTTCTCTCTGGTGAACCTTCACTGCTTAATCACATTCCATCTTCACATTCCATAGAGGTGGCTCTTCAATCCAAGCAACAAGCAAACATTTTCCAAACACCTGTTCCACTATTGCCATTTCTGAACTCTGACTCTTGTAGTCAGGTACATAATCCTGGGCCTGTCAGGTGTACACACACTGCATTTGCCTGTTGGATATTTGACTCCTTGCAATTGAGGATTTTTTTTTCCAAATCATTATACTACTATCAGCATTATCTGAACCAGGTACTCCTCCACTCATATGCTTGCCAGATCAGATGATACTCATTCAATTTAATTTCAAGTACACATAATCTTTCTTGAACAGCTTGACATGGATACCTTTCAGTACACGTGTGCATTTCTGCTCTGCACAACTTTGTCAGAAGTAGCCAGTGTGCTGGGCTGTGCAGTGAGGAAGATGTTCTGTGATGGTCCCTTGTAAGGACACTGCCTTGATAATCCAACAAAATAGAGAAAGCACACACAGTTTCACAATTATTTCCTTAACATACAAATAAGGTTCTCTTACTGTGACAACTTTGTGTGAATGGCAGGTAGGAAACCCCTGCAATTTTCTAGCTGTAGTACCCAGTAATATGCAGAAACAGTCAGACAGCCATTATTAGTAGCTGGAGCATTACCTCCTAAGCCTCAGGCAAAGGTAAGGGAACTAAGTCTCTGCCAATAGGGAAGTTCCAGAATTAGAAGAAACACAGGAAAAACAAGGCCTCAGAAAGATAGCAGAAAAGGGAGAATGGATTCACATTGGACTCTATCTCTAGGCTATAAAGGTCCATTTGTCTCTAAAATCCAAACAGCTATGAACTACTGCACAAGCACTTGATAAGAAAACATGAAAAACAAACCAAGCTGTGATGGATACCTGCTTCTCCTCGAAGGGCCTTCTCCACAGCAACTCCCCTCTCCTCAAGTTGCCTCTGCTTCTCTTCCACTTGTTCAAGCTGTCGCTGGATAATCTGTTCAGAGAAGAATGGAGCAGAACCTCACCAAAAGCAATTCTCCTGCTCTATCTGCAGCACACATCCAGCACTGAGTGACTTCAGTCAAATTTGCCTTCCCAGAAACAAGTATTTGTATTCAACAATACACTGTTTCAAAAGCATCACAAACCCTCCAGTAACATCCTCCCCACTCCATTGCATCTGATCCCTTAAATTTGAAAACACCTTGATATTCACTTATTTGCTACAACTCCTATCACCTTCATAAACACTGAACTGAAACACTGATTCTATTTAGTCAGCTGAGCCCCTAACTTGAGATTTTAACAAATCCCATCACCTACAGATGATGTTGATAGTTTTCTAGCAGATTCTGTGGTAATTAAATGTTAATTTGGTAACACTTCATCCACCAGCATAATCCAGCAAAGCAATGATAGGTGCAGCTCCATCAGGTATTATCTGAGTATCACTGTTCCATTCAGTGCATGATGCTTCACTCATCTCCAGATAGAAGGTGTTTGGGGCATTATTTTTCTAAATGTAAAATCATCATGATAGGTTTTGTGCCACTGCTCAGTGGCATGATACCAAATTTGAAAGAGGGAGCAGGAGCAGGGACACTCATCCAGAAACAGAGGAAAGTTCTGTCTCTGGCTTCTCTTCTGACACACTCAGAGGAATGTCAGGATCATGGTGCTCTCACACAGAGTGAACTGTCTGCCATGACAAGAGGACTGTGACTGTGAGACACTACCTGAGCTCTGTGTAACCTCTTTAGCTCCTCTTGCTTGGCTTGTCTACGGGCAGCTTTCTGCACCCGCCGGGTCAGCTTGGCGTTCAGCTCCTCTTCTGTGTAGGCCCTCTGAAGGAAGGAAAAATAAGAGCACATCTTATTCACATGTTCAGAGGAACGGGGGCAGGGGTGACCATTTTCTCTTCCAAAAATCTCAGAAAGGAGGTGTTCTGTCTTTGCCATGGCTGTGTCAAAAGTCAAGCTTCGGTAGGCAAAGGTGTTCACAGTGCAGTGAGCAATAATTTCAGGATCAAATCAGGAGTGAAGAAGCATATAAGCCAACTGCAAAGCTGTGCTTTTATATAACATCCCACCCCAGCCTTCCACTACTACATGAAACCTCTCTCCAAAGATAAAATCAATTTTTATTCTATTTCTCAATATTTAGCCAAAATGGATTTAGTTAAGTCAATGAGTACTGTGTAGAGGGGTCATTTTGATTTTGTTCTGAATGAAGGTAAATGCTTGTCTACATGAACAGTTACAGCAGTGTAAGTTAAGAAATTATTATCGACTAGTGTAGTTGTACTGGAATTCCCTTCTCCCTATTATGTTCTGGAACAAGAACTTCCATAGTTGGGATTTATACTGGTAATGACACCCTCTGTAAATTTGTGCAGCTTTTCAGTGATTCAAGAAGGTAAAAAGACATTTGAAAGCAGATTGACATTCTGGTGTGAGATGGGAAATCAAGAGCAACCCCACAAAACTTGCTGGTATACAACATAGGAAACAACCCTTAAACTAAAATTAGAATGTGACACCACCAGAAGCCATTCAAAAGGAGAAAAGCTATTTTTGCAAAAATAGAAAGGTTTTCCTCCTCTTCTTCTCTGTCAGTGAAACTAGTTTAAAAATAAGTCTTTTTAACATTACTGAAATTTGGTTTAGTATCTTTTCAGATAGACTAGTTGGATGTGTTATAGTCTAGGAGGGCTTGCAGAGTTTCATAGTCTTAAGAGTGTCAAAAAAAAAATTCACAACTGCATTAAGTGCACTACAGTGACAAAAAGGACTGTTTTCTCATGTATATGTATGTGAGCTTTAAGGGACTGCTGTAAACAGATGTATTCCACTTCTGGAAAGTGATCTCCCCCATGGACTGTCAACTTTAAGAACAGAATGTTAAGTCAGACCACCCTGAAATTTGCTTTATCTGGTTATTGTACTGCTACGTTGGTCAGTCTACCTCTGGTTTATTGTTCTTAGTGAATAGAATTCAAGGTAGGATCACAGCTCAATTAAAAATCCCTCAGGTAGGTCGTTGGAAAGCACCATTGTTAAAGCTTCAAGAAGCCAACACTTTACTCTTTCTTCCTTTCTTTTAAAACATGAAATCCACAATGATACCCAAATCAGAAGGTAAAATGACAGAGGGTGTGACTTTCCTACCCCATGTAACACTGTTGTGACTGTGAAGACAGGACAGTAAGAATTTCAGAATGCAGCAACTTCTGCCTTGATTTTAGCTTGATACAGAGTTTCACTCAGATCGAGTGAACTCAACAATTTTGAAGGGTGCTGATTAAAGTGTGATGATTCACTTGAACTTACATTCTAAATATTAAAAAAACAAAAAGAATATGCAAACGTATTTAACTGCCTTGAGAACCAATTTGCCCTGAAGCTCACAGATCATCCACATCACTGTACAGTGGTGCACTGATAAACACATGCATTCTGACCAGACAGACATTTCGGAGCTTAATGCATTTTTGGTAGACAACTTCTGCAGAGAATTTGCTGCCCATGTCTGCCACCATCTCAGGCATGCACAGTCAGTGTTGGTGGTGTTAGTGCACATGTGGTGGGGAGCTATGGATCCAATGGGTTAATACAGGGACATGCAATGCAACAATGGCCAACTAGTGGGAATGGAGACACTACCTTTGACGAGTATGATCTCTTGAATGCCAAGGCGTGTGGTACATAGATCGACTTTAAAGGGGGAATGGTAAAGGAAAAAAAAAAAAAAACGTACAAAAATGAAGCAAAATCAGTTCAACATTGAAAACAGATGCACAGTAATAAAACAAAGTGGTTTTTCAATGAAACAAATTTATGCAAATGCTGAACGTGACCCAGACTGACGAAGCACAATGGAACTTCTGCCCACAAAATCAAGTTTCTAGCACTCTCCTGAAGGCAACTAGTTTTGGTAGCCTCTTTAAAGATACAGTGAACCTGGAAATACCTTTTTCTAGAGAATTATTTGGCCTTTATCTACCGACAGTTTTAATGTCCACTGAGCAAGTATAGGCACAAAATTTTGGCTTAGGATTTGGAATAATGACTTAGGCTGGGGGATGCTTGGTCTGAACTGGCTCAGCCAAACGTTTATTACTCTGTCACACAATTCTCCATTTAAAATTTGATTTACAGTCTCTCCTAGGAGTTGTGTTTATTCCATGGTTTTAAATTATCTCTATTTCATAGAAAATACAATTTGCATTTAACTAACATATTAAATCTTCCTCACTGCTTTGTGAACTAAGAAACTCTAGACGGACTCAGAGTGCATTATGTGTCCTGCAGTAATGGAATCTCCTTGTCTAAAAGGAGGGCCTGCAAAGATCCTGAAGAGCTAAAATTGAGGGTAAGGAGGGGGAAAAGGAAGGGGGAAAAGGAAGGGGGAAAGGAAGGGGGAAAGGAAGGGGGAAGGAGGGTGGAAAGGAAGGGGAAAGGAAGGGGGAAAAGGAAGGGGAAGGAAGGGGGAAAGGAAGGGGGAAGGAAGGGGAAAAAAAAAAAGGGAGAAGGGGGAAAGAGAAGGGGGGAAAGGAAGGGGGAAAGGAAGGGAAGGAAGGGGGGAAGGGCGGAGGGGTGTGGGTTGGGGAGAGGAGAAAGGGGAGAGAGAGGACGAAAGATGGTAACTATTCTATTTCAAAATGAGGGGAGGGTGGGGGGGAAGAGGGGGAAGGAAGTGGGGAAAGGAAGGGGGAAGGAGGGGGAAAGGAAGGGGAAAAGGAAGGGGAAAGGAAGGGGGAAAGGAAGGGGGAAAGGAAGGGGGAAAGGAAGGGGGAAAGGAAGGGGGAAAGGAAGGGGGAAAGGAAGGGGGAAAGGAAGGGGGAAAGGAAGGGGGAAAGGAAGGGGAAAAGGAAGGGGAAAAGGAAGGGGAAAAGGAAGGGGAAAAGGAAGGGGAAAAGGAAGGGGAAAAGGAAGGGGAAAAGGAAGGGGAAAAGGAAGGGGAAAAGGAGAGGGAAATCACTACTTTCTGTACCCAAATATAAGGTAAGTAAAGTTCTTAGCATTTAGAAGAGAGGTGACTTTCCCTTCATGCCATGAAGTACAGAAGGCATTGTGCCACTCGGGGTGAACAGGCAGCATTTTGCACTTTCACATTGAATTAACTAAAACCAGTCACAAATGAAAAGCCAGAGAACAACACCAGCACGTTTGCAAACTCCAGTAAAAAGCAAGCTACCTGTGGCAGTAAAACACACGTCTGACCACAACACAACTGTACGGGAACAACGACAAACACACACAGTGACATACACCTACAAACACGAGACCCAGAGGGCATTTACATTAGGAATTCTTTGCAAGATGCTTCTCTTGAAAGCCACTACATTAAACAACACTGAATTAATTCACTGCTGATCACAAAGAACAGGCTAAACAGAGCAGGCTGTCTGGAAGCAAAGGTCACTACAATTATCAAAAAAGCAGCACAAACAGAATTTCAGTTCAGAGGAGGGGGTTCACATAAAAGTTATGTAGCACACACAGTAAAGTCAGTTCTTACCCATAATAAGTAGCATGCAGGTTGTGACTTAAAAAATATCACCCCTTTCCCCAAATCAGTACAAACCCAGCTTTGACAGTCTCGAAGTTTGGTTACATTTCTTTTGACAGCAAGGCATTCCAGTGTTTGCACATATGTTCTACATCCTTGGATAGGATGCAATGAAACCAGGCGAGGGGAGTTCTCAGATCTGTACCCTCTAGATAAATGCATTCTCAAAACTGTTCTTCAGAAAACAGGCAGATGCTGAGCAAACAAATTCCTAACATAACTTCAGCAACAGCAAATGAGAGAGAAGGAGGCACCACCACCATACCCTTGGCAGAGCTTGCAAGACAATTTTGATATTAGGAATCCAGGCATCTGCCACTGTCACTTATCATCCTCTCCAGTGCTTAGTGATATTTTTTCTGCAAAAGTCATTTGAAATCGAAGTAGCTCAGCACAGAAGAAAAAAGTGACCATTAAGGTACATCAAAGTCTGAAAACAAGGATGGACCTTACTGCAGCCTTGGCTCCTTTTGAAGGAGCTCACAAGACAGAGCAGTGACTCCGTAACTCTTATCTGAACCCCAGGTATTGGGTATCTGTCCTCTGCTGGCCCCAGGTACCTCGTTCTTCTGCATCTCTGGGAAAATGCAGAATTTCTCATGAAACGCCTTGAGGGCATGCAAGGAGGAATGGAAGGGGGAGAGAAAAAAGGGAATAAAATAAAAACAAAATAATCTTCCTCTCAGAAGAGATCTAGACCAACTAGGGAAAAAGATTAAAAGAGAGATAAGTAAATACAGAAAATTCCTATTTAGTTCATCAATTCCTTCCACCAGTTTTAAATTCATTAGTTATTCTATTTCATTTTACTATCTATACATAAGAAGCATTTCATATGACACTTTAATTTGCAGTATTTCCACACCTTTGCCATCTGAGCCAAGTATCAACTAGAGCCTGGCATCTGAGACTGATTTGTGCACACTGGAGGACAGGTTTGAGACAGGAAGGCACAGAGCACTGTGTCTGTGACATTACCCTCTCAGATGCTCTCTTCTTCTTGAGCTTTTCTAACATGTGTACCAGGCACCACCAGGGAGGGACTGTGGGAACACAGTTTTCACTCTTCAGTACCAGAAGAGCTTTAGTGTTTGATGGGGTCAACAAAATCTCTACTTATTCCTCCAAACCTTGTCAATTCTGTCTAGCAGAGCTTAGAGGTTCTCAGGAATGAAAGCAGGGCTCTTCATTACTATGATCAAGCAGTTCCTTAAATTTTTCCCTTGTTTTTGCATTAATAGTGCCATTCTAAAATTGAATTAAATAGTTTAAAAGCAACTAACTTCGGAACCTTGCTCTCATCATTTATTTTCCACATATAAGTGTGTGCAAATAAACTAAATCCTTATACTAGATCCTTAGGCCGGTGAGGACAGTGCACAGAAAGCTCACTATCCTGGACTTCAGGAGAGTAGACTTAGGCTTCTTCAGGGATATGCTTAGTAGAGTGCCATGGGATAAAGCCCTGGAGGGAGGAAGGGGCCCAAGAAAAGTGGTTAATATTCAAGGACCACCTCCTCCAAGCTCAGGAGCAATGCAACCCAACAAAAAGGAAGTCAAGCAAAAATGCTGGGAGGTCTGCATGGATGAACAAGGAGCTTCTGGACAAATTCTAGAAACAAAAAGGAAGCCTACAGAGAGTGGAAGCAAGGAAAGGTAGCCTGGGAGGAATATAGAGAAATTCTCCAAGCAGCCAGGGATCAGGTTAGGAGAGCTAAGGCCCTGACAGAATTAAATCTGGCAAGGGACATCAAAGGCAATAGGAAAGCTTCTACAGGTACATCAGGGATAAAAGGGAAAATATGGGCCCTGTCTGGAAGGAAACTGAAGATCTGGTTATCCAAGATATGGAAAAGGCTGAAGTAATCAATAGCTTTTTTGCCTTGATCTTCACCAGCAAGTGCTCCAGCCACACCATCCCAGTCACAGAAGGGAAAGGTATGGATTGGGAGAATGAAAAAATGCCCGAGGCAGGAGAAGGTCAGGTCTGAGACCACCTAAGGAACCTGAAGGTACACAAGTCCAGGGGACCATGGGTTCTGAGGGACCTGGCAGAGGAAGAGCCTAAGCCACTATCCATCATATTTGAGAAGCTGTGGCAGTCTGGTGAAGTTCCCACTGACTGGAAAAGGGGAAACATAATCCCCATTTTTAAAAAGGGGAAAAAGAAACACCTGAGGTACTACAGCCCAGTCAGTCACCTCTCAGTGCCCAGCAAGATCCTCCTGGAAACTATGCCAAGGCACATGGGAAATAAGGAGGTGATTGAGGACTGTTGCTTCACTAATGGCAAATTGTGCCTGACCAATGTAGTGGCCCTCTGTGGTGGGTTGAGAATGGATGGAGAGCAGCCCTGAGGAGGACTTGGGGGTGCTGGTCACAACATGATCCAGCACCATGCACCTGCAGCCCAGAAAGCCAACGGTATCCTGGGCTGCACCAAGAGAGTTGTGACCAGCAAGTTGACAGAGGTGATTCTGACCCTCTACTCTGCCCTCACAAGACCCCAGCTTGAGTACTCCATCCTGCTCTGGGTCCTCTGGGCCACTATCCAAAAATCAGACTCTCAGAAAAAGTGAGAACTATCTCATCATTAAGTTTTTGCAGTAATATTACAGCCAGTGAAATTTACTCTTCTGACAGTAAATCTGTTTTCTCTAGATTGTGGAGATGTTCACGACAGGGACAAAACTCACTCTTCTGACTGTAATATTCATTGTAAAGTAATGCCACAGTGAGACAATGGATCCTTCATATGATAACAGGGGAGAGTAGCTTGCAATTGTGAAACCAAGTGAAACCAACTTATTTTAGGCAGAATAGTCAGCCAGCTTACAGGAAAAGTCTGGGAGAAACAGTAAAAACAACATTAATCATCCAAGTTTCTGATGTGATTCTCTGAGTCTGTGATATGCAGGACACGAGATGCATTTCCCATCTACCTACCTCTCGTTTGGATTTCTGGGAGGAGCGTTCCAGAACATCATCACTGGACAGGTCAGAGTCCTCTGAGAAACTCAGGTGTTGACGGAGCTGTAAATCTGAGAAGCCGGGAATAAAAAGGGAAGTTAAAGGAGAGGTAACTACCCTTTCTGTAAACATTCTAGAACTCAGTTTTAAGTTGTTTGACTGAGTATCAAAAATACTTAGTCCTTTCATGTCAGTCTCAGTTGCTTCACCTGGGATTCAGTGACCAGAGCAGCACCGCTCCACAAAATGATCAGCATCTCTGAGCTTTGACCTACAAGAGCATCACTTTCCTCAAATGTTGTTAGAAATAATGATCATGATTCTCCCTTTGTACTGTATTAATGCTCTTAGATACAGCACTTGGATGACAGCAGCTAGCACTATTTTGAGTCTTTGTCCAACGCCAGAGAAATGTTTTCAATCACATTTATGGCTAACTTATTTACTGTATCCCACACTGCCATTAAACATCTCTGCCTGCAACTGGTGGGCATGTGACAGATTTACATGAGGCTGCAAAATCCCTACTTCATAGATTCAACAGTTGCCAGATCACTGAGAACACAGGAACAACTGCATCTCCGCAGTCTTCAGCTTCCATGGAGCCAGGTAGAAAAAGACAGAGAGAGAGAGAGAGAAAGAGAGAGAGGAGAGAGAGAGAGAGAGAGAGAGAGAGAGAGAGAGAGAGAGAGAGAGAGAGGACAGACCACCCAAGAGAAGATGAGGATCAGAATTAAAATAGGGAAGAAATGTCACAAATTCCAACTAATAGTGCTTATTTCTCAAATCCATTTAAGGCAGAAAACAGATTTGCTTTGTCCATGTTGAGAGTGAAACTTTTAGTTAAGGATCCATTTTTTCCAGTGGATATCAACTAATTCTGTCAATATGTAAACATACAAGTCTAGTCTCCAGCACTTACCCCGATCTGCCCATCTGACACTGGGGAGCAGCATTATCAGCACAGTAGCTGAATGACAAAGCAAGCCAAACCTACTTTCAAGGATACCAAGGAATAGGAAAACTACATGGTGCAGAGGCACATATCTGTCATACCTGCAGCTGTAATCAATGGAGATGCTTTGCGCTTGCCAGAATCCACAGTGGCACTACTTGAGGGAGTACTCGGGCAGGATTTGTCATCGCTCTTTTTCTTCTTGTCTTTCTTATATCCAGAGAAAACAGACTTCCATAACGACCTGGGCTTTGTTGCTTCCTCTGTCCCACCACTAGATTTGTCGGAAAGCCTGCTATCATTCTTGGATTTCTTCTCCTTTTTGTTCTTACGAGGGGAGAAAAGAGAACTTCTTTTCTTACTCTTCCCACTGGAGCCTTCTGAGGAGCTGACAGACCCTTCAGGTCCAGCCATATCAGCAGGAGGAGTGGAGAACTTCTCACTAGCAGAATTATGCTTTCGTGTGGATCCCTCTGCTAATTTCAAGGCCAAATGCTTTGGAGACTCATAAAACAATTCTTTGGTCTTCAAGGGCATCGAAGATGCCTTTCGTGCCCTTGTGGCCGCAGTAGCAGCAGCTGCAGCCATCTCCATATCTTTCATCTTGCACAGCTGCTTAGCCATGGCATCACGTAGTGCCTGGCTCTTGACAGACTTCTCTCTGGCTCTCATTCTTTCTTCAGCAAGCTCCTTGGCCTCGACAGAAATCTCAGGGAACAGTCTCTTCTTTTGATTAACCCCTCCTTCCACTGAGGGTGGACCACCATTTTCTTTGACCAAGGGCAAAACAAGCGTTTTCTCTGGCCTTGGCCTACTGGTAGGAGGGGTAAAGAACTTCTCGTGAAGGCTTGAGTCCTCTGTCCTGTCATCATACGTGTCTTCTACATCATCAGCAAACGGAATCTCGTCCACACTTTCTGCAAAAGACTTGCGCACGTCTTCTCTCTTGGCTGGGGTTGTCTCCTTGGCAGCAGGGGCTGGCTCCTGGTGTCGGAGAACAGGAGGCGTTGACGCTGGTGTTGGAGGTGACCTGGCTTCAACCTCGTTCTGCCAGAGCGCCTGGTATCTCTTTCTGCGCAAAGTGGCTGGTTCTTCATCCTGAGGAGGTGGTGGAGGCGGACTCGATGGGGGAGTGAGCATGGTAGAGTCAGAGGTGTTGAAGCTCTGGCTCGCCATAGTTCTCATGTTGGATGAGCTCTCCTGAAGGCCAAGTCCAGAACTGCTGGATACATCTCCCCGTACTTCACCGGAAATCTTTAGCTCTTTTTCTGATGGAGACTTTGGAGTGAGCAGAGAAATCTGCTCGTTTTCTAACTTGGACAGTCCCTGCCTTCTTGGGGCAGGTTGGGGTTTCACAGGATGGATCCTTTCATCCCCTGAAATATTCTTGCTATTAAAACTCTTCAGAGGAGTTGTCTCAAGAGCAGACACAGTGAAGTTCGTCTCTGGGCGTTTGTTTCTCTCTACTGGGGTGAGCCCTAAGCTCCTCCGGATTTCAGCACTCTTCATCCAGAACTCTTCCACAAGGCTACTCCGTTTCAGGGCTTCTTCTGCAGTAGTAGGGCTCCCCAGTTTTTCCACCTCACCATCCTGGCCCCTAAGGACCAGTTTGGCTAAAGGAGTAGATGTTAAGGCTGGGACAGGTTGGAAACATACTGGAGGCTCCACTGGGGATGGAATGGATGTTTCAGCAGAAGGCAAAGGCTGGGAACAGATAGGCATTTGAGCAGATTTTGGGGATGAAGCCAATGTTGGTGCTGCTGGCTGAGACTCTGCTAGTGATGTAGGTGCAATGGCTTCTGGTGATGCAACCGGCTGGGATAACACTGGAGATAGTGGCACCAAAGGGCTCTTAACTCTCCTTTCTTTGGGAATTTCATCCTTTGGTCCTTCCTCAAGAACGAAAGGCTCAGGAAAAAAGCGTGCCTCTGGGGATTTTATTGCACGGCGTACTTCAGCCAGGGGATCTCGTACATCCTACAAAAAATGAAAGAGGAAAATATTAATATTTTCTCTCCCTTCAAATCTCCAGCTCTTTGTATTGTGGTGGTCCCTTATCTCAGACAGATTTGAAGTAAGTCTCTCCAGGTCTCATTTGTACAGCACTTTTCTGCTGACTAGTGTTGCCGTCATGCTTTCTTAAAGCAAGGGACGCTTTCTCTCTTTTGAGAGTAAATTAGGCTGCAGTTCACTTGCCCCTTAATAGTCTGAGAAATTCTGGCTTTCACCTCCTATACCCATATTACTCAAGAGCACAGTTTGTTCTTCTACAATTTAACCCTTTGGCAGGGGACTCCTCAGACTGAGATCTGGTGTTATTCTTTCCAATGGCATCTTTTGCTCCAGCTTTCTTTTGAATGCAGACATGTGACCACTGGAGCATGAACCTACCTATTAAACACACAGGTCTTGAGAACTGCATTCAGGCATTGTACTGATATAAACACTAACTATGTCTAACAGAATTATTAGATGGCCCTCAGAAAAACAAACTGAATTTAGCAGAAAGTCAATGTTGTCAGCAATTGCTGTCAGCAAACCAGACTTAGCCCTTAATCTGTCCATGGTAAAAGTAAACTGGTTTATGTCAAAACTCTCTAGGATGAAGTATCATCTTTTAATAATTCCTTACAAACAGGCACTTGGAAGGGAAAAATTTGAATTGAACATTTTAAGGGTCATGTACTTTCAACTCTTAGACACCAGCAGCCACAAACACCCCAGTACACTTGCAAGCTGCCACCCAGGGCTGACAACATGAAGTACAACATGTGACATGCCTCAATTCCTTAAGCTGAACTAGGCTGAATTCTGGAATAGAGAAATACTGCTTTGGTTACTACTATAATTTTAAATCTGCTTTTGGTACATAAAAGACAGCCAGACCAGGATAAATAGGAAACACGCTAGTTATGGCTCCCCTCATTCATCATGTATACCTCTTGTTAACTGGGCACTGAAATTAAAATATCCTGGATAATTCTTTTTGGGTTTTGTGATGGGAACTTTTGTGACAGAGCCACTACACTCCAAAGATAGGTTAAAAAGATAGTACTTTATATTTTGAGTATAAATAAAGTCAGATTTCAAGATCAACATAAATTTTAGAGACAGGAAAGGAGAAAAGCCCACTGCTGTCAGCCCTCATTAGTTTATCCAACAAATTGTTTTATTGAACTACAGGTGGTAAGTGGAAAATGTCAAAGATTCTCTTTCTTACCTCTGCTTGTTTTGCTTTGGGACTAGCAGCTGGAGACAGAGGAAGAACACTGTCACTAGATGCCTGGATAGGGATGGATGGTTTGCATGGATCTAGGGAAAGCAAAAATGTTCCAAAAACACATGAGACCATTAATATTCTAATTTTTTTTATGTTACACGCAGCAAGTACAGACAAATTTCTCAGCTTATTACAAATTCTAGATTGGACATCTGGAACATAGACAAAAACTTTTAAATATTCAAAATGGTACAAGCTTTTTAATGTAAAAATTTTTACAAGAAAAAGCAGTTAGAGGGGTTCTCACATTTAGGAAGCCGTGATTAATGGATTCAGAACATTCATCTCAAAATGTCAATGCAAGCACATGCCTTGCCATTGAGAGGAGCAAGATGGTTCAAATCCAAGAGACTCTCTTCTCTCAAATCCCATAAATGTACAGACTATCTCTAACGCCATCAAAATCACTGAAACACTGATGAGTAAAGCAACTACCTTCTGCCACACTGGAAGAAGCACCTTCTGCTTCTTCTTCATCTTCTTCATCTTCAGAGACTTTTAGTTCTGCCTGTTCTACACCACCCCGGTGTAAGCGAAACTCCGCTTCTGCGTCAGATGCGATGTCATCTGGTCGTGGGTGGGGCAGGGGAAAAAAAAACCAACAAGAGAATTCAAATACAAATCCATCAGGACATAATACTTTCTTTTTATTCACAAGGTGCCAATCACTTTCATAACCTGAGCCCCTAAATGTTTCACTCCTTGGTGTGATAATTAGTCATTTAGGCAGTCAATGTAAGCAGTTAATGATTGCACTGTTAGTACAAATAGCTAAATCAGTAACTGAAGTCCTGCCTTATCTGTTTTCTGGAAATTTTTTTATGTTTTCTGGCATATGCAGTTAATTTTACAACAGCAAGGGAAGGATTCTGGCAGAATATTGTAGAACTTTCCCAAATTTACTTCTATTTCTGTTATTCATCAGTATCAGCACAGAATATGGACACAAGACACTTTAGTTACAGTGAGAAGACATGAGAAATTCATTACAAAATCCATGGCATTGAGGTTCTCGTCTTTCTTCTTGTCACTCACTCCCGGCTCCCTCTTGACTATTCAAAACAAACTCCCACACCACTAAAAATAATACCATGTTTAAGTAGCTTCACACAAAGTATTTTCTGCCAGTACAACTGTGTTCACACAACAGGTTTAAAGGCTGCACACGGTACCCTACCATCATCCAGCTCTGCACCCGTGTCTCCCTCTTCACCTGCCTGCCCTTCTGTGTCTGCAGGCTCTGTGCCCAGCTCATCCTCCACATCATTATCCTCACACGGAGCTAGAATATATTCAAATATTGAGAAAAAAAAGAAAAGAAGACAAACACTAGACAGTGAAAAGGTTCTACATTGAACTGTACCAACAGTTTATAGTCGAGATGTTTATTAATTACTGCCAAAACAAGGAATCCCAAAATGTGTCACCTGGAAGGACATCTATGGTGGAACGACACTTCCAGACTCCAATTAATCAAGGAACGCCTGCCCCTGGGAGTCTCCGAGGCATTTGCAGTGAAAGCAGCCAAGGCTTTTCTGAGCAACAGGCCTTGTGAAAAATTAAACAAGAAGGGGACTGGGAGGACATCAAACCAGGATAAAGTTTACTGTTCTTCCAGGAAGATTGTTTTTTTTCCTTTACCACACCAGAACAGTCACCACCACTTGATAGAATACGTTCATTAAGTCAAAACTGAAATCTCACCACGTACCATGACTGTTCATCTTGAAATCGAAACAGGTTTTGAGGGTGTAAGTCAGAGACAGAGTCTAGCTCTGGGATTGACCATTATTACATTTGAAAACTGTTTAATGCTGTGCAGCTACTGCAGTCTTTGGTAATAAAGTCTAAGAAAATTCATATGCTATACAAGTACATAGGGCACAAATTGAGATAGTTTAAAGTAATAAAAATGATACATAAAAAGCTTTTTTGCTGTCACAGATCATTAATTGAGATACTTTTAAATAGTTTAAATTACATTTTCAAAACTTTTTTTTCTTTTAGAGATCATAATTTGATTTGCTGGATCAAAATAAAGAAAAGATTCTTGAATTTGCAACTCTGAAAATTATGTTATCTGACATTACTACTTGTGACAAGATTTAATTACAGGGGGAGAGACAAGATCAAAGTCTGGGGTCTAAATTCATTATTAAATGATACTTTTTAAAATAACCCCTTAAACCTTATGACACATTATTCCATATCTAGTGCTATGGATGATTTACTTTTTTTTCTTTTGTTAAACATTTTCATAAAACATAATTTAAATATTAAAAGAAGAGTGAGTACTTCCCTTTTTTTTTCCTACAGTAGCATTGGTCAACTACAGTTTTAAAAGTGTGAAGTGAGTTATTATCAATTCATGTTCAACAACACTTAACTCTGTTGTACATCCTCTTGCAAACATGTACACAGCCAGCATGTGTTACCATGCACATCTGCTAATTATACACACAGGATATGGTTCTATAACAACGATAAGTTATATATTTATAACCTTATTGGTTGCACCTACACCAGTAAACTAAGTGGTGCAGGTCTCTAGACCTGAAAGCACACAGTGTCACACTGTCATCCTGAGGAGGGCTCCAGGCACAACTCCCTGGGAAGGGCCCAGGCTGTTTCCACAGGCAGTCTGAACACAGCCCCCAATCTTGGATGGCAAAGAAGTTAAGCCATGCAGGAGAGAACCACAGTGTGCCAGGTTCCTCCCGAGTCAGGGTGTAGGCCCCAGTCCTCTTTGTTTACTAGTGAGGATGTGGCTCTTGGAACCATTTATATGACAGCAATGCTAATTAAGACAATCTTGAAAACAAACTAACCCTCCCTAAAATTGAGGTCTTGCAGCCTCTCCTCTTTCTCTAATATAGGTTTTTGCTTATTTCAAAACACAGCCTTCAGTGGGTGGTTTGTCTTCTTCCTTCAACCTGAGAATTTCCCTTTTTCCATTTTCTATAGGATTATTTAACATAGATAAACATATGGGCTATTTTATTTTCTGTCAGCTACTGTGAAAAGGCATTTCCACTCATGTGTGATAACATACTGGCCTATTCCCTTATGGATAGGATGATAAAATCCACACCCATACTGACATCAAGCACAGGAAACTAAATCATATGGCAAAGGCTGGACTTCCCACAGGGGCATTTACAAATCTACTGAACAAAACTAAAACATGTTCCAGTCTGATTGTTGCTTAGGTATGCAGTAGCTTATGTTATTTTGGAAATGATAATGTCATGGGATGGTTTTATGGTAGCAGCAAATGTGAGTGATCTTAATCAGAACTTGCAAAAAACATAACTGATGTTAAGAATATCTGAATCCACTACGTATATGTAGGTCTTCAGATCCAGAAACCATGAACTGACACGACACACACAGGTTGTGTTGGAGAGAGAGGAGAAAATCAGGTTTTAAACAGGTTGGTACACAAAACTCAATGGAAGATTACAGATGCATCGATAAGTAGCGACTTGGTGCAAGGGTGGATCCCACTTTGAGGGACACGGAGAGCTTACAGGTGGCTGGTTATATTATACATATACTGTGCATATACATATATGCAGTTAGGGTAAGGAGCAAGAGGCCAAAAGCTGTCACACAGTAACTCAGAAGCTACACACTACAGCAGCCAGAAACTGGGATCAGCACTTGGTTTGTATTAGGCTGTCAGCTGTCAGCAGACTGCTTCGTGTGCAGACATCTTGTAAACACTGCTGGCTTGCCAAAGCAGCAGCAGAAGCAAAGTTTTAAAGGCAAGCGAGCTATTCTGATGTGCCAAAGCAACTCAGCTGTACACCAACTACCCAGCACAAACTACTCCACTGAATGAGATACCTTCACAGCTTTACACAGATGTACCCCCCTACTGGCATCCCAGAATCTTCACGCTCACCGGTTTTGTAATGGAGCTTAGAGGACCACATATAAAAAAGCAGGTGAGCTTTACCATCCTTCACCATTCACGAGGCTTTCCTGAATAACGTGAAACCCCAGGCCAAAGGAAACACAATCGCTATTCCTGAAGATCCCAGTTTCAATCTTATTATTCTTTCTTACTTCCTTCACCAGATAGCTACAGTTTGCAGTTGCTACAGAGAACTGCCATTGCTCTAAGCACTACCACTTAATCTTTCACCTGCAAGAAAGCCCCACGTTCTTCTATTCTGTGGGCTTGGGGAAGAATAACTGCTCCCATCTTCAGTTGACAAAGCAAATTGAAGTGCTCCTTCTGCATTATTGCACCCAAGATAACCTGCCCTCAGGAGGGTTACAACGGGTGTGGAGCTCATGCGAGAGGGGTCTGCCTGAGCAAGGCGTGCATGCACACTCCCCTTCCTCCCGCCCTCCACTCCACTCATGCAGTAGCGACAGGGCCGTAAGTTCCAGGGTTAAAGTACCAGCTCAGCTGCTGAAGGCATGGAGAAGAGACGGGCAGGGTTATTGTGCATTGGAATACATAGAACATCACCAAACTACCTCCAGGGACCGTCTCCAGCCACGCCTGTACCGCCTCATGGCGTACGGAGGGAAGGTCGGACGCTGAATTTAAAAAACAATAAATCGTAAGAAATCAAAATTAGACCATCAGTCAGTGTCTAAAACAGAAGAGTGACAAAGGGAAATTTTTCAGTAGCACGTACAGGAATAAAACCTATGAAATTTTAAACAACCGATTCCAGGCTCGAGAATTAAATTGAAGCAACACACAAATGTCAGGGGCCTAATCTTCCCTTAGGATCTGTAACGTTAAAAGGAAATATGGCCTTAGGATCTGTAACATTAAAAGGAAATACGGATGGCACAGTGAGAGAAACACTGCATCTGACCAGCAGGTTGCTGCTACTGTGCTCCATTTGAAACTCTGCAGAGAAGTGAAACGAGGAGAGGAGGGATCTGAGCAACAAGAGAGGGGTGGTCGTACCGGGGTCCCAGAACCTGCACTGCCCAGGTGCCCATGCCAGCAGACGAAGAAAAGCTCCCAAAGCAGAATGAGAAGGGCTTCTATGAACTGTCACGTTATCCCAGGCTTTCACAGCAAACCTTATCACTGCTGCTGCTACCGACGGGCTCTCCAAACACCTCATATCACAGAACAGAGCTCAGCCAGGAACAATTTGCCCGTTGAACTCAGGTTGAAAACTTACAGCACGTCCACAAATACATATTGGCAACAGCCCTTTAAAACCCCAAACTGCTGGTACACCTGTACACACATGTACTACGTAACAAAGTAATTGAAGCAGCTAATCAATCAATTGGGATTGTCCCAGTTTGACTGGGTTTTAGGGGAAGGAAATTAAAATCCTGCCCCCATTCCCAAAGGAATTTAGAAAAACCAAAAAATCAATTCTGGAAGGATGACCTGTTGCTGGCAACTGTACCAGAACAATACAGAAAAGTAGGAATTACAAAACACAAATGAAAATAAAAACTGGGAAACTAGAGTGACACTCACTCTGAAGCAGAAGCACAGGTAACCTGAATTGCTGTAAGCTTGAGAAACTGAGTTAACATTTTTTACTTAATATTTTTTAAATATTAAACAACTACTCTAACAATACTGAATGTTACAGACAGTTGAACACTGTGGTTGCAGTGTGGGAACAAAACACCCACTTCTTATTTGTAGGGCACAGATTTCACACCAGAATGTCCCAGTGCATTCTACAAACTGCAGTTTTAAGTGTAGCCAAACTGATCTGGAACTGTGTATCAGTCTAGATCAGGATAAAACCACCCCACACCAAACTTCTAGAACTGGGAGGAAAAGATAATTGTCTGGAATAGAAGATGATCAGGAAACATGAGGTAAAGCCCCAGGCTTTTTAACTTAATTTCACATTTGCTGTAAAAGACAACCCACAGCATACTTACTCCCTCTACAGTTCTGTCACAGTGGTTGCAGGCTGGGAGAAGAGCACTGCTCATCAACTGCATGGTGAACTTTAATTAAATTCATTGGTAAAGCACCTATGACATACTTACCTTAAGACACACTGTAATACAGTTTAGAACAAAGTCAGCAGAGACTGCTGGAAGGCGTTCACATGAGAACTGGACTTACCAGTATTTTCCCCCTCCAAAGTTTTCCTTTTAAGTAACTGACAACATGCAAAGGTCACACCTCACATTAAAAAAAATAGATATACTGCCAAACCTTAAACACAGGCAGTCAAAACTCTCACTCATCAGATTTGCAAGCCCTTTGACCCCCATCCTTCCCTATTAATACCAGATGCAGTTACACTCTTTGAAAACCAGCAGTAGAGAAATATGCTCAATACAGAAGCTGATCCTGTTCAATCTTTGCTGGAGTAGCTACACAACACAACCCTTCAGCTTTCCCTAGAGAGGTGTACAGTCCTCACTGCCACAAAAAGCACATGACAACTTCTTTTTAGCATCCCTAAAGTTGGTTACGGAGGGCAGATTTCCAGCACCACCAAATCATGTGTGTGGTGAAGAAAAATGCTATGGAGTCGAAGCAGGCACACAAATGGGTTAGAAGTCACAACACAGAGATGAGAAAGCAGTAATTTTAAACAGACACCGGCTTGAAAAGCAAAATGTTTAACCAAGCGTAATTTCAGTGTAATTTGAAAGTAGTTCCTTTCAATCACTGCTGCCCCTGCTGAAGTCACTGCTCTCGAAGGGCACAGAACCAACAGAGTTAAACAGCTGCAACTGTGATCCAAGAATTGGCGGTGTGGGGCTTAGGGGGATATTACCTCTGGAGGTGGAGGACTTTGAGGCTGAGACCATTTTTTCCTCCTCCTCTTTTTCACGGATGTGTGTCCAGTGCACATCTGCCAGGATCTCCAGAGGATCAACCGGATTTACAATCTGCTGCAGCCTAAGGTTTCCAGCTAGCAGGAGGAGGGCATGGTATACCAGGTTGTAGGAAGGGTGTATGAAGGACAGGGAGGAAAAGATGGGAGAGCAGTGGAAAGGAAAGGTAACACAATATAGGAAAGGAAATAAGAAAAGAAAATATTATTGGCTCAGATCAGTTTGCAAGACAGACAGAAAAAGCTCGGCATTACAGCGCTCCTCATACTTCCCATCAAAGCTTGAATAATGCCATTCCAAAGGCAGAGGAATGCTATAAAGAAAATAATTATAGATTATCTCTATTGCAAGAAGCTTCGCTGAAATGAAAGACATTCTCTGGGTGTCCAACAGTATGTGGTATGTAAATACCAATTTAGCAGAAATTTCCAGCTCCTTCAGCCTATTCATTATGATTATTGCCAACGATGTCTTGCTGTTAAAGGCAAGGGACAATCTGCATTGTAGTTTGATGCACCAAGACAAAAGGTTTTTCATCCCCTATTATTGGGTTAAGCACTCCTTTCTGGGCTGGGTACACACTTCTTTGTGAATTAAATTACATGATGGATCTCAGAGTTTCACATGTGTGCATGTGCATATGCACACAGGGGCACACGCCTACTTTAGCACTTAAAACACTACTTTGTTTACTCCTGCTCTTTTGTACTGACTTGTTCAAAGGGGGATTTTTTTGTCCTGAAGAATAACAGCATTTTGATTGTGACTTAACAGCCACTCCCACCTCCCCAGAAGGGAATACCTGCTTACACAAAGCTCAGCTACCTATGGAACAACGGGCACCTAAAGCAATTGATAAGCAACTTGTTTAACTGCTGCAGAACACCCACCTTTGGGAGCACCTATTCTGAGGTATTAAATTCATAAACCCTGTCTCTGTTGTTATCTGCTCTGCGACTGTAACTCAGTCTTATTTATCCATAATAAAATAACTGATTCTACAGGGGACAGGTGTTCACCTGTTCACCTTCTGCAGGAGTGGTCTTCAAAAGCAAATGTCTCAAACTGAAAGAAAAATGCCCACTTACTTTATAAAGTAGGACATCATTTTTATCAACAGCTGGATTACCACTGAGTAGGGCAAAACACTGCTTCAGCAGGTTAGAACCTCAAAAGCAGTTAGACTTTCACATGGTGCAGTAGTGTTTGAAGAAAACAGGACACATTAGCAGCATTTAGAGCTTGCACTCGTTATTTCCTGCTGTCTCATTTTAATGAAGTTCCTCTCTCCTGGCCATGTTTTTCCCAGATACGACAAACTGTTCGGGCCTTGCATTTTAGGAATGATTATGTGTGAGATTTGGCATTAAAACTGCAGGAGAAACAGGCAGAAGGAACTGCAGGAAGGACAGAATCATCAGATGGTTATTAAGGGGAAAAGGTTTCAGAGGCACAAACTCAAATGCAGAGCGGGATTCACAATTTAGCCAAGTATTTAGCGGTTTTATGTCTCTGTCGCCTCATCAGAGAGTTTTTGTATCAATTAGCACAACCACATGGGCTACCAGAGCCACTGGACATCCTGCAGGGACAGGAACCTGGGCTTTTCTCGCTCCATACCAAAGCACTCGCATGCAGGCCCCAGGATGAGTAGAGTTAGCACTTGCATCGCCGCACAAAAGTCTGTGTTAAAAGGTTTAGGTTTGCCAGCAATGGCTGAGAAGTATATAGTCCCTCAGCAAGGCTTGGAAAGAGCAGGTCCCACGTGATCTGCATGTTTTAAAATGGATTTCTCTGGGATTTAGACTACTGTAACATACACACCTATAATTTCTCCACGAGCCTCTGGACAGAGGCCTGAGCCTGTCCTGGTTAGAATACTGGTCCCTCTCACCTTCTCCAGTAAATAAGGAGCAGCACAGCCAGCCATGAAAGACTGCTGCTTGGCTAAGAGACAAATCTAACACTTCCTTAAGGTCTAAGTGCTTGAGAATTTCAAACACCTGGCACAGCCTTCCCTCAAGACTGCCTGCTGAGCTGTGCAGGAAGCTGAACAGTAATTGCACTTAGATTTGGAACAGTAACATTTCCCCCCATTTCCACTGTAGCACCTATCAGCACTTTATAAGCTGTGGGCAATCTCAATGTTTTCACTTTAATGGAATGAGGAGCCACCTGCAAATCAACTCCTTAAGAGCCAGGTTGAGAGCACACTAACAACTCCCATAGGAGGAACTTCTTCAGATATGCCCTTCAGCCATCTTACTAATACTTCTCATTCTTACCATCAGAAAAGTTAAATGAGGAAAAAATGTTAACACTTCTTCCATTTTTTTTTCCCTCTTAAAAAGAAAAAAGTCAGAAGCCAAGCTACAGTTATTAAAACCATAAGCTGCAAAATATGCAGTTTAACAACTGCATATGCCCTCTTACATGCAGGAAAGCACTTGGATTTTCCTCTTATGTATTCTGGCTCTAAGGAATCACATTGAGGAAATAAGTATTAACAAGCTATTAGGACCAAGTGCTTACAAAAAAACCCAAACCAAAACATAAAAATAAACTGCAAGAGAACACAACCAGTTAGATTTGAATGTCAGATTAATTTTATGACCAACTGTTCAAAAAATTTTGAGGGATCGCTGCAGCTTGATTAGTTGCCCCCCAGACTCTCCCCACAGACACACACTCAACAAAGGACAACAAAAAAAGCAAGTTTGCTGACACACTTCTGATGCATCCCATATGTCTGACATATTGCACAGGTGCAAGTAGTCTGTGTGTATGGAACAAATTTGAAACTCCTAAACATGTGGAGGTCACTGTTCATACAAATTACAGTAGCAAATTGTCCAAGCTTTCTAGATATCTTGAGGTACTCGGCAGCTTTATCATTTTACTAAATCCAGTGGCAAAGACAGAACTGATTTATGGCACTTGGATGAGGAGACAAAGATAACAACAGCTCCCGAATCAGTTTTGAGGGAGCTGGTAATTAAATAAAACACAGGAACTTCTCATGTGGGACCTGCTCTTTAAAACATTCCCCGCTCCTTTGGGGAAACGGAAGTGGAGATGGTGTGTACGGGTACCTTTATATGTACCCGAGTCCTCTTCATCTGAGAGACGTTGAAGCCAGAGGCCTTGCTGCAGCTCTCTCTCCCAAGGGTTATACTCCCCCTCTACAGCAGAGGGAACCACACATCCACATATAACACCAGACACGCGTGTACACACACAAGCGATGGAGAGAGGGAAAGAGAGAAAGAGAGAGGACAGAATCAGAAAGAGAGACTGTCTGGAAATCCAGCAACTCCCCGTAGTCCCGCTGTATTCAGTGTCTGACAGGAAAACTGCTTGAATGGAACAACATCCGTCCAAGAACACCACGGCTCAGCAGACTAAACACACAACATGCATGTTACCAGACTTAAAAAGAAGTCCTGATTTCCACAGACTTCAGCCATGGAGATACAGCTCCTACGTTGAAGAAGTAGCCAAGTAGCCTGCTGAGCTCATCAACAACGCTGCCACTAAGGCTCAAAAAACTGGACCTCTGCTTGCAGTAGGCAGCCAAAGACCTTTACGAAAAAGCTCTTTGGAGTCTACTAGTCTCCACAAAATGGAAATGTGAGTATAAAGACAAAGACAAGATCAGCGAGAAATTTGGCATGATGGTGAAACACTGGAAACATGTCTATTCTTAGCACAAACTTTGCATTTTGATGATTGACACAAACACAGGGGAACGAGTCTTTCCCTAAGATTTCCCACAGAAGTCTCTCAGAGCTAAAATGGGAAGCACCTGAACTCCCTGATTTCTCAAGGCCATCTTTTAACAAAGGAGAGCTACAAGTAGCTTCTTCTGGAATGCCCTGACTACAGTGACAGGGCACTACCCCTTAGGGAGGCACTGCAACCACAATGCTTCCAGTTCTTGTTGCCAAAGAACAAAGGGCACATTCAAATCCAATTCCAAATAATCATAAAAACCAACAATAAACCAATACAGCAGCACAAAGCTGTGAATTGCACATGTTGGCATGGTGTACGGGAAGCATATTGTGTTGGTACTAGTGCTCTAACTGCCCTGTGGGCAAAGTCCTTCTGTGTCCACAAAGATCCACCCAAAGCTTTCCTTGACAATAACTCCCTTAAAAAAATCAGAGCAATAAAGATGTGAAAGAAGAAGAGAAGTTTTCCAGGCAAACCTTTCTCATTCTGCATGGCCAATACTCAACCCAGTTTTCCCTGCTGTCTAGCAGAAAGAAAGGACAAACCAATCTAACCTTCGCTCGACTCCTCATCTTCTTCCTCTTCATATTCCTCCTCATCATAATCATCTTTGTCCTCAATCTCGTGATTCTCCTCAGCCTCAATCTCTTCTTCACTCTTTCCCTTCAGGAGGGCGTGGATACGCACAGCCTCTTTCCACGGCACACCACCCAAGTCTGAAGGGGGTTGCTGAGGCAGCAGTAGTTCATCCTCTTCCTCCTCATCTTCCTCCTCCATCTCAGACTCTGAACTACTGTAAGGTTTTAGGAAAAAAAATAAGGATTATATAGTTAATAATAATAAATAATAATATTAAAGATTATGCAGTTAATGTTTCCTTGATCAGTCTCAGATCACTGACAAATTGTTTCAATACCCACCAGCCCAAAACATAACACTAATTTTCTGCTTTCAACATTTCATAGGCATTTTAGTGACAGCATCACGTGTGGACTGCAGTATGGTCCTTGTTCTGCTTCCTTCAAAGAATGTGAAGCAGCAGAAAAGTGCCTGTGAAGCCAAGTTCAAATATTTGTGTAGTATTTATTGTTACAGTTCATGACAACTGAACACAGCAAAAAGAAACTACTTTCTTCATATCACATTGCTTTGGATAAACCAGTGCAAGAATTCTCAGCAGTATCAGAATGTAGAAGGTCACATCTTTTGATATGGCAGCTACTGCCAGCTATGATAACCAAGATGATTTTGGCACTTGATGTTGTGAACCAGAGAAGGCTTTGGGAGTAGAAAGAACACACAACACAACTATCAGGACAAAGGATACAGTATGTGAACCCAGGGGAGCCGGAGAAAAAAAATACAAAATTACTCACTCTTCTACATCACAGACAGAAATATGTATCCAATTAAGTACACAGTGTACATAGTGGCAAGAAACTGTAGGAAGCAGTGCAAAGATAATTACAATAATGAGCTTATTATTCTCATAGCAAAGTCTAAACTATATAAAGCAGTAAAATATTACTGCCTTTTAGAAGCCATTTCTGTTTAATTGTAACAGTTCCTCAGCATAAACTGCGGGGGCAAGAAATGTAACCACTTATACAAAGGCATTTAGTCTGGCTCACTCTTACATGCTGGACTACCTAGAGGAATTGGGAAGAAAGGTGATTGTGCTTGTCACTGGAAAATGAATGAGAACTACAGCACACTCAGAGACCTCATATGCAGGGTGAAAAGGTGCTCTACCTTTGCTTTTCCTTAAGAGATCATTGCCATAACAGAACTGCATTTATTAGAGCAAAAGTTGGATGCTTCCCATATAAATCTTAGAAGGCCCAGTTCATCTGACTGAAGGAGAAAACTGTGAATAGTTAAAAGTTTGGGCAAATAAACTGAGAACAGTATTTCTGCTTCCTTATGCCCATTATCACTGGTTAACAGCCTTTGGCAGAGCCCATTCCCATACAGACAATGAAAGAGAAAACCAACAAGTTGAAAATAATGAAGCTCACACCTCATGTAAGTCTACAAAATATAACTTGTGCAGTGGTAATATCATATTTACATAATTTTATTCATCTACTTGTCTGAAAGCCTATTTTTGATAACAAATCTAATAAGGAAAACACTTCATTCATGCTCTGACTGTCACACACTTCTGTCCAGAGGCTCTTAAATTCTCCTCACTGTTCTGCATCCATATAGCTCTATTTTGCTCAGGTTACAACCCACTTTTTCACAGCATGAACCGAATACTTATTTTTAACATGTTGCCTGATTTTCACATGTGAAATACAAACACTGGTGCAAGTCATGGAATCGTTGCATATTCCAGGAGACCGAAGCATATTCCGAAGGTTTTACGCAGATATTGTCACGAGATAAAAAGTGATGTTCCCCTCCTCCCTGATTAACCTTCCCAGCCTTTGGTGTGGAAATAAACCTGACAGGTGCCACATGCTGGAGTTTTCATGTGCTGTCAATAAGGTTTACTGCTGCTCAAATTGTTGCCATGACTGCTGAACGGGACGAGCTGCTGCTCTTCAACCAGCGGCTTATCGCATGGAATATTGACGACACACATTCCTTATCACACAGCTCACTTTACCTTCTTTGGCTTTTGTTTATAACTTGGTTTTTGTTTGACCTTTGAATACTGAGAAATGAGAAGCTGAAAGACAGCAGTGAGATGGCCTGCTATAGTGGGCATTCCTTTCAGCATGGCAACCCTGTGCCATAGGAATTAATGCAACAGCTGAACTCTTTTTTTTCTATAAAGCAGAATTCAAAGACCCAAGGTAGGTTGCTTTATGGAATTTGTATAAGCACTTGAATATCTCATTAGAAAGGTGTATGTACACAGACTTAGTGCTGAGGAGACTAACTGAAAACCCAAACTGTGGAAATGAACCTCCTTCCTTGCCATGCGGACCCACACGGCACAAGCTTTCCTACAACACTGCTTTGAAAGGCCACAGAGTGGGATACCAAAACTGCAGATGACATACTGGGAGTTACTGCAAGTTAAAGGCAATGAATAAGGCACATAAAGGGTTTCCCACACCTCATACCTGTGTAGTCAGGGTGTAATTGCTTAACTGATCTTTTTTCTTGTGGAAGCTTAAACAAGATCAACTCTCTTTCGAAAAAATATACTCTGAGTACTGTTTCCTGTAAACTTCCTCTCCAGCATGGATGCTCCCAAGTGTGTGTGTGTGATGGAAAGCTGTGCAACCAAAATGTGAGGTCTCTGCCTGACATAGATCTCACACCTCAGTGAACCCCGAGGCCCAGCCCCCTGCTCCATAAGACACAGAGAGGACAAAGAGTTCCCATCCCCTCCGCCTGCTCCTAACCCTGCGGCGCTGCACCATGACAGTGAAGATGATCAAATCAGGGATTGGTTGGCTTGCTGCAAGAGTCAAAACTTTTTTTCTTTTGTTGCTGAAAAAGTAGTCAGGTTTTTCCCCCTTTTTTTGCCTTCTTTCTGTGACGTATCACGGAGTGGATACGGCTGAACAGAGGATACCCAAGAGCTACATTGCCTAGAAAATTCTCTCTCTCGTGTTTGGCCCACACAGCCTTGTCAATGCTCTCAGTAAACTCCTTGCCATATTTAGATTTGGAACATAAATTTTTCCAGGTCATACTGACAAGGAATTTGATGTATTTTCTCTTTTCTCCCTATGACAGAGTGTGAGTTGCCCACTAAACACTGCTTTTCACATCCAGAATTATACAATACAGTCTATTATAGACAGAAATATCATTTTAATACAGGTTATGAGGATGAATGTAGGACAAAGGGAACTAAATGTAACACCCAAAGAGACAAAATCCAACTTGCTAACCTAATAGTATACTGCCCTTAGTCTCCATAATCCCACAAAACATCACTTGGAGATGACCAACAACTTCATGCCAAAATGCCAAAAACTCCTTTTTTTTTAAACTAACTCTTCTCCTTTGTAAGTCTTCTGCCATTTATTGAGCAGGTCTATTGTGTCCTGATTTACTGAAATCAAGACAAAGAATAACAATAGTGAATAGCTCCATACCAGTAAATTTTGTTTTACAGCTAGAACCATAAAGGACTAAAAAATCCCCACTATCATTAATGCTTATATTGTCACAGTTGATAAAATTCCTAGACCTGAGCAGGGAACTAAAGGAAGGACGAGTGAAGAAAATACAGTTGGCATCTCCCACAAATAGTCCAAGATTATTTGATTTTTCATACAGCTCTGTATCTGTAGGTAATGCATACATAGAAGATGTTCATAGGATCTAAGCCTTAGGAAACCAATAACAGCATTTTCTGAGTTTATTTCAAGACTACTGGACAGACTCAGAGCTGAAAAGGTAAGGGTTGCTATTGCTATAAAGACAAGTAGATGATTTGAAACCCTGTTAAGAAATCAAGACTGTATAAGCATGTGATCCACTATAAAGTTCACAAACATCTTTTTGAGGATTTTCTCTCAATGATTCTTCCAACAACTGTTTCCTGTAGCTCTCCCTGCACATACATGGATCCTAGTGTCCTTACAAAGCATTTTGCAGATAAGGAGAAATTCAGGAAGGTACAACATATTTTTCAATAGCCATAACTATTCCTTCCAATTAATATCTCTCAGGCATTGCACCAGCATTCCGTCACGATTACATGTGTGTCAAGGTTGAATCTTGAAATCAAAAGTAGTTTTGAATTGTAATGTAAAACATTCAGAAGAGAAATTAACTTTGGAATCCCCTCCTACTTGAATTCGTGTTCTGTTTGCTAAGAAAAATTCATTTACATGACAATTAAAATAATAAAAATTAAAAAATCCGTTCCAATTTAGGACTTAATTTCATGGCATTACAGTCCTAGAAGTGTCTTCTAAGAATGGTTATAAGCTATTTAGAACAGAAAGCGCAAGATAAAATATCTGTGTACGTACGCAGAACTTCTTTAATAACTTTGGAAAGGGCAACCTGATAAATAACATGTTAAGGAAAGCTAAGGGAAAAGCAGGCAAAAGCCAGTATAAAAAAAAGCTCATGGGCAATGTGTGCTAACCTGCTGGGCACATCCTCTTCTGTTCCTTTGTCCAACACGCTGCTCAGGTTATGCTCTGCCAGTGTCTCTTCGGGAACCTCTTCCAGTTCTTCCTCCCGCTGCAGCGACAGCCGGTAGTTCTCCAGCTCAATCCGCTCCGGAGTGCCCCGCAGCCGCTTGGCAAGGCTGGGCTCCTCCAGCCCATTCACATTAGAACCTAAGGATAAGCCAGTGAATAAACAATAAATGCAACAGTCAGAACCGTAATTCTTTAAGAAAACCGAGCGATTGTGAGAAAAGGGGCGCGAGGCAGAGGGAGGTAAATAAAGCGAGAGAATACCTTATGTCATTATCCTGTTCGCCACTACTGGCACAACCTGCTGGGAAGCCAGACTGCTAAAGGGAATCTTAAGTGGTTTAGGCTAATAGATGCTAAAAAAAATGTTAAATGTCCTAGTTGAGAGAGGAAACAGGGCCATTTTAGCTGCAAAAAACTAGAGATGCAATAGAGTCTATGTAACAAGTACTGGGGAAGGCCTGGGCACAGACTGGATGTATTTTCTGAGACACAGTAGGAATGCTATGGGGCAACCCTGCTGCGTGTTAAAATCGTTACCAGTCAAGTCTACAGAGTTAGGGAGAAAGACAGTATTGTTACTACTTAAAGATGAGCGAAGCAATGAAAAAGGTCCAGTTGGAGTATGTTTTAAGGCTTTTTATAGACTCAAATTAAGTTACTTTTTAATCAGAATTTGTGATGAAATGAATCACAGGGAAAAATCTTGGGGAGATGTTTGCAAGCAAAAATCCCATAAATCCCAGAAAATTGCAAGGATATGTGACCCAGGCAGTTGGAGAAAATAATACAGGAGCTTCACTCACTGTGGCACTCAATGAAGTATATTCTAATATTTTAGCTCGAATAACATGCCAACATTTACCCTTACCCAGCTTATACTATTTACAGAGCCCAACATTTCCATGCTTTTGTTTTGCTTTGCTAAACAAGCCAAGCCACTCTCTCACGAGATAAGCTCTTCAGCGTGCTGATTATCCCCTAGGTCTCTGCACCTGTCCCAGTTTGGATTAATCTTTCCAGAACCTGTGTGATTAGAACTGAGCACAGCTTTCCAGATGAGGCCTTATCAGTGTAACACACAACCTTGCCAGAAATCTCTCATCTGGTACACGCTGGGAACACACTTGCCTATTTATATGCCACATAATACTGGTGGCATTTGCTCACTGACTGATGTTCAGATCTTTCTCTTTCTTTGCTTTCAGTTGATAAGAACTTTGTTGGTAGCCAAAATTCTCACCACTTTCTCATTGTATGACCTGGTACTTTCTGCTATTACATTTCTGTTCAACATCACAGATGGCAACATTTTACAGCTCTTAGTGAATGATGTGCCCATCCTTCTCTGCATTGGTGGGGGTTTGAAATTTCAGCAGATTTTTTTCCTTTTTATTTTTTGAACAGAAACCTTAGTGACACTATCACAAAGATCAGTCCCCCAGTTACTTTCAGTGAAACTCCACAATCTGTAGGTGACATCCAACCCCATTATTTTCTTTTTCAATAAAACCTCTAATCTCTCATTTAAGCCAACTTCTTAGCCACTTGACACTTCATGTACTGCTCCCACATTTTATCCAGTTTAAATAATTATTTCCATGTGTCAGCATTCAGGTGCTTTACTGAAGCCCAGACTTTTCAAATGCACTACATTCCCCTCCTGGAGGTAATCAGTTATGTTGTTGATAAAAGCTGCCAAGCCAAAGGCATAGCCTTTGTTGAATCCATGTCACATTTTATACCACTTACCTGCATGAAAACAAAGGGCTTCACTTGCAGAACTAGCAGTCTTTTGTTATTGCTCCAAAGAAGGTGTTTTATCTACTGTTTAAATTAACTTACATGTACTTGATCAAATCACCTTTTAACCTTTTTTGTTTGATGTTTTGTTTTCTTTATAATTTTTTATTTGCAGGTCATACTTTTGTCACCCAGTGGTCGCACAGTATCGCCCCGAATTAAGCAGGCAAGGTACATCATGATACCTTGATTTATTCACAAACTGTTACCACAAAGCTCACAATTTCATTGTACACTTCTTCCACTCTTCTGAGACTAAGACTATTTGGTCAAATTTTATTTTCAATCATTACAGTATGGTAATATTTAAACTTTTCTTCCTGCATCATTGGATTAGTCTTTCCCAATCTTGCTACACACCGACTCTTTTGCTCCCACGTCCAATGCCAACTGAAATGGAAGCCCATCTGATTGACTATACATTAAACTGCATTTTATGTCAGCTCCATCCTCACTGTGGACCCACTGCTGGTTTCCCTTGCCTTGCTTTTACTTACATGCTTAAGGAACAGAGCTCTTTGCTTTCCTTTCCTTTGCAAAGTCTAACCCAGCATGAGCTTTGCAAGCGTTTACTTTATCCTCACACATTTTAACCTCCAAAACAGTTTTTGTTTCCTTTCTTCACCCTTTGTAGTTTCTCACTTTATTCCGAACAGTCCTTTTTTCAGGGCAATTACTCTCTCAGTCATCTCAGTGTTCCACACAAAATTACACAGGCCTTGCCATGATTAGTGGCATCTATTTCCAATCCCTCTCCTGAAAGATAATATCTCATAAAAACAACTGCCAGGAGTGTTTTGCTCTCTTCCTTAGCATGATTTAACCCTTCTGTGATGTGGGCAAGTGGCTGCTGTGCCTTCAGCTGGAACTACATGGCTTCTTTACAGTATAAACCAGAGAAGCTTGCTCAGGTGGCAGGTGGGAACATTGCCTTGCATTTCCAGGGATACTGTGGTCTCTACCGTTTCCTGCTGCTAAGCCTTATGTTGTGTTAGTGTTTGCAAAGTTTAGTGGAACTGGACTGGCTTTTCAACTGGGATTCATGTTTCATTTAATTCTCTCTCTTGATCGTGATACCACTTCGGTCAAATCTATTTTTGCAATCTGTGTTACATTCCCCAACCCTGAGTTCACAGTAACAGGGGAACTGACCTGGAATATTGCTCTGCCACTTCTGGCTGACAGTAAAAGACCAAAAGACTTTGGTTAACGCAAGAACACCAAAGTGAGGGAAAGCAAACAAGGAATATATTAAAATAATACTAAAAAAAGTTTTCCTAGTACTTGGAACTCTTCATATACCCAGAGCTATCAGCTTGGCTTACCTACTTCAACAGAAGTATCTTTTCACAAGCTGTTTTTGACTTGTTCTCTTCTGATGCAAACCCTAACACAGCTGCAAAGTCCACAAGCAGAAAAAAAATGATGAAAAACAAAAAGAACAAGAACTTCTAATCCACCTGATGTTATTTTACTTCTTTTGTTTTCTATCAAAATATAAAACCATTCCCATATAATTAAATGAAATGGAATAGAGTATTTTTTTAAAAAAGGTTGTTTCACTGCTCCAGTATCTAGGGTGGGGAGAAAGACTAGCAGCAATCACTCTAAGGTAGAGGAGGACTGAAAATCAAGTTGACAACCATTTATACGCATTTCATGAACACACATGATCTTTCAGGTATGTTTTTCAAAACACAAATCATCACTGCCCTTCTCATCACGAAAACCCAGTATAACTGGTACACAGGAAATCAAACAAATCCTATCACAGCACAAACTGTGAGTGGGAGTGGCTCAATGCAACTGTGTTAAGAAACTGCATAGATGGAAAAGCTACCTAAATGTTAATGCAAAAGGATGTGTACAAGCCAAGATGTCCTGTGAGCTTGACAAGCACTCCATGCTTCAAAATCTCAAAGAAGTAGGAAGGACATTCCCAGCACCTTCTCTAATTAATTTATATATCCACACACTTGAGATGCAGGATTGGTCACATCCCTCCACTCCCCTTTGCAAAGAAAACAGCTCCACATCAGAGAACATGATACAGAAACTCAACTGATTACCAGCTTCAGCAAGGGATTTCTAGGAATTGCACTACATGGACCACTTAGTTCACTTGATCTATCGGTTCTGTTTCTAAAAGATGCCATCTGGGTAGCTGCAAAGCCACTGTTACCAAATATGAAACAAGAGAAATGCTACTGATAGCCAGCTTTGTGCACTGCAAAGCCATCAACTATCAGAAGGAAAAGCATTACACTTCCCAAATCTATGTAAGGGATAAAAGTAAGAGTGAGGTACAGGTATCATTAACGTGTTTGGATGATGGACAATTTCCTCATAATATGCTACAAAGTGCACACCAATTCATTTGATGCTACAATAAGAAACTACAAATAGGAGCAAGGGAATCTGAAGCTCTCCTACCCTCACTTCTCATATATATATATATATATACAGTGCTAAATGGATGGGCAAAGTCTATTCCATTGCAGTTCTTGCAGACTCTAAAGCTTATCCTTAGAGTTCCTCTGGAGGGGAAAGGTGTCTCTCTCTAAAATCATTATGCTGGGCTCTCTAGACTGTTCTGTAGCTCACTGGCACAAGACAGCTCCACAGCTGGTGGCTGATGTTCTACCTGGTCAGTGCCTCTGGGCCCACAGAGACAAAAGGCAGCAACCAGTCTCAGCTGAGAGAAAAGGGGCTGATGAGGCTACATTTGCTGGGAAAAGAAAGCTGTGTTACTATCCAGGGAGGGGAGCTACCTGAAAGCCAAGTGCAGCTTCTCATACAATCAACTGATCAGCTAAAAACCCATGAGCAACATCCAAAATAGGGCACATTTTAAGACTTGATTCTTTACTTTGGACAGTGGGCCATGAACATTACACAGATCATCTCAAGGGAACTGTTTTTTGTAACAGGACAGGCTGCTTAGCTGGTGCATGAAAGTTGCCAGAATCCTTTAGTTAACTCAGCCTTGACACAGCTTGCCTCCTGTAAAGATAAGTGTATGATCAGAGATAACATTCCTGCACAGACCCACTGCTTGCCTAATAGTGTGTCCTTTCCAGCAACTCTGGCAATTCCTGGAAGACTTGAGAAGCTCCTCTTGAGAGAGGATCCCATCTCGATTCCCTCCCAGTACCACCCTGTTCTGTAAAATTGACACATTATTCCCATAAGCTCAATGAAATCTTGCCAAAGTTACTCCCTGACACAACACTTGCTGAAGATGCAGGAGAGAACTGGGAACCTGAGAACAATGAATTCTTCCCAAAGGGAAAATCCCTGTCTATTTTACTGAAGTTATTTTCATTAATCACGCAGTACCTCTAGACTTGCTTTTCTTAGCTTGCAATCTTAATATCCAAGTTACATGTCATCTCTTGTAAGTGTGGGTTCAGTATTTTGCACAGGCTCAGACATTGCCTTGGGGAGTTATGGAAATTCAAACAAAGGAGTCTACTTTGAAACACATGCAAAAGGGGGAAGGAATTAATACATTCTCAGGAAAAACGTCATTCTGGATTTCTCAAGTCTTGTGGTTTTGTGGTCAAGTGAAACACTGCACCTGTTTGTTTTTACTTGTCTTTTCCAAACTCTTCAATTACTTCTACCTCCACACAATTGTTTGAGAACATAACTAAGTCAGATAAAACAATTCCTACAGAGACAGCAGCACATTGTGCGTGACAAAGTACAGAAGAGGAAGAAGGGAACTTTTCCACTGGAGTTTAAAGGTGTTGCAGTGAGCTCTGAGTCAGAAATGCTGGAAGTCCTCATATTCCATTGTCATTAATTTCTAAGAAATATCTTTTGGGGTAAGGTTTTTGAAGTGTGCTTGCAGCTCAGCAAACGTTATCACTGAGATATAAAGGCAGCAGACAAGATCCAACAGCATTTTTAGGCTTCTCATTTTTCATCTGTGTTAAGGTCAAACTGAGTTCCATGTTTTTTCCTAGAAGTTTCACCCTCACCCACTTCAGTTCCATTAACTCCCTGTTTGTATTCCAACTCCACTTCTCATCCAAGGGCCTCAAAATGCTTTACAAGTGCTAGCACACTAAAACAAACCTATTTTGGAAGTAGGTAAGTACTGTAGGGGCATTGCACAAGTCCAGACACAGAGATTAAATACCAGCAAGGCAATCCCATAACAGACTAGTGGCATTGCCAGAAACAGGATCCAGAATGCACAACGCCAACCCTTTCACTCTCAACTTTACTTGAAGTCAAGAAGAAACACTTTGGTATAAGAAAATGCCCAGCACTGTGTGTACAAAAGGAAAGGAAATCTTGGTACTGAGGTCCGTGGTTAGATGCTGCACACATTGAAACAATAAGTCAATTAAGACATTCCATTTACATAAGTGCAACTGATTTCTTATGAAATCGTTTCCTTAATCCTCTTGAAAATTGTCACCTAGCCACTCTTAGCAATTTTTGTACTGCACAGTAACAGATACATAAAACACATACATGGCAACTCTAAACTGACCAGCGGAAGTGTGTTAAATGGAATGGATTTTTTAAGGGTTAGAAAGAAATTCTAAGTTTTAAATCTAGATTCATCCACCCTTTAAAATTTTAAAATTTAAAATCTCTCTTTGAAGACATGTCTCCAGGAAACCACTGGAAAGAGCCCAGCAGAGCTGGTGAATTCTTGTCACTGCTTGTTCATGCAGCCTCACATCACATAGTGCAGAACTGCACATATCCTGGCAGGATCCCCTGAATCTTGATAAGCACAATCTCAAAGACAAAAGGGGCACTATAAATACCTCCTCAAATAGAAACAAGAACCCATTTATTTGAACACAAATACCAAACAGCATCTTGGGTTTGGCTGGGGTAGAGTTAATTTTCTGCCTAGTAGCTGGTACAGTGCTGTGTTTTGGGTTTAGTGTGATGATAACCTCAATAGCACACTGATGTTTTGGCTGTTGCTAAGCAGTGCTTATCCTGAGCCAAGGACGTTCGAGTTCCCTGGGCTCTGCCAGAGAGCAGGTGCACAAGAGGTTGGGAGGGAGTGTGGCCAGGCCAGCTGACCCAAACTGGCCAAAGGGATATTCCATAACTATGGAACATCATGGCCAGCACATGTAAAGTGGGGGGAGTTGGCCAGGAGGGACCGATAGCTGCTCAGGGACTAGTTGGGAATCGGTGGGTGGGCAGTGAGAAAATTGCATTGTGTACCAGTTGTTCTTTGGGTTTATTCCTCTCTCCTTCATTTTCATTACAGTTATCATTATTGTTGTTGTTATTACTATAATATTTTACTTTGTTTCAATTATTACACTGTTCTTATCTCAACCCACAAGTTTTACTTTCCTTCAGATTCTCCTGCGCACCAGGGCTGGTGGGGGGTGAGGGAGAGAGCAGCTGCATGATACTTAAATGCCAGCTGGGGTTAAACCAGAAGAAAAAGAGTTTTGCCACTGAGCAACCAACATGGCTCGAGACTTCTACTTCTATGTCAGGCTCAGTCCTCAAACTCGCAATCCAACAATTCTTCCCAGCAAATCAGGGATCTGAACAGAGAAATGACTGAGCTGTACAGACAGAAAGGTGCTTTATCAAAATATCCCCTGAAGCAGAAGTACCCAGCAGAGATTTACCAGTACTACTTCCAGTGCTGACCAAAAAATTTTATAGCATTACTTAATTCAACAGCACATGAAATAAAAATCAGTGAGATTCCTGTTGATATCTACTGGTCCCTAAGCAATGAGGAACACAGAGGCCCCCAAGGGGGGCCTATACACCATTATAATGTGTATAGGAAGAGCTGATAGTTAAAATACTCAGGGGATTCTGAAATAGATACCCCAGAAACAAACATATTAAGATATAAGTCCTCCTCCATACATTCCACAACCTCCAGCTAGAATTAAGTTCTTCATTCTCAGATACTGTCAGTAAATGTGGAAGCCTGCACTCTTTATAATTATGAAAGTGAACTGGATTGACTACTGAATGAAATTAAAAGCTCACATATTTGTCTCATGAGTGTTGCAATGTTTTCCCCCACTCCCCTAATTATTTTGGTCAAAACAGATTTCTAGAATTCACAAAACAGACACTGACAAAACAGTTGCTTACTGCATCAGTAGGACAGAGCCTGGAAACAGCTGGCAATTGCATTGATCTGACCTTTCTCTGGTTTGAGTGGAAGCAACCAGAAGTGAATATAGTTAACCAGTTTAATATCAAGGTCATCTGTAATTTATACTTATGTCTTGAAAACAAATACAAATTCATCTGCAACTTCATAGTATAAAGTTATGTTTAAGAAATAGTGTTTTCCATATGCAGGTGTGTGAAGTAGCAGCATTAAGTCATGAAAGTTAAGAGTTCAGTATATGGTTTAACGATACAGAAGAGTTGTCTTCATTACAGCAGAAGTATAGAATAATCCAGGAATATAGCTATTTCTGACTCCTGGAAAGCATCCAGTCTTGTCACTGGTGGGTGGAGAAAAGAATCAGGGGAAAGGAGGTATTAGGTCACCTAATCCAAGCCCCAGGGAACACTGCTAAGCTCAATACTCCTTATTACATCTCCTTCAGCAGAAAATCTTAACATTTGTACAGATTTCACTTTTACTGCTGCTCAAACAGGTTTCCAGTATTAGAAATATAATATAAATTATGTAGGGATTTTAAGTCCATTAATTACTGGTGTGTTTATCACTCAGGAGTATTGGTAAATCAGTAACCTATTACTGATCATTTCCCCTTTTGCTGGTATCATCTAAGATGTTGGAGCTCTCTCTGGTATTTTGATCAGCTCTATCATATATTGCCTGGCCTCATTTCCATTCCCTGAAAGAAGCTGAGTGTGGGAAGGCTGAAGAGCGCTGAAGGATAATCTGGCTAAAGATAACATTACTTTGCAGGCATAAATTTTGTCCTGAAAGCTATTCAACATGTTACCTCAAAGAACCACACATATATTTTAAAATTCCCCATGACCTTTGGTTCATGAGCTTTCCCCTTCTTTTTTTGAGTGAAGTACTCTCTTTATCTTTGTTAAGTAACTTAGAAATTAATATTGAAGACTGATTGTCCAGTTATAATCCAAACAATAATCCCTTTTATGGTGTTACAAAGAAAGCCCCTATCTTTTCTACTAGGTAAGACTACTCAGTTTATTCACTGTGGCATCTTTTTCTTGCCACTTTTATGTAGTAGCCCTATGGAATGTCTCATCTCAGTGGGAGGGATCAGACAGGTGATTCCCACTGTGCAAGTAACACAAAGCTGAAACAAGGATTATTTCCATTTACAAGTAGCAGTGGAATCTTCACTGGCAAGTGCTTCAGGCACACGGCTCAAATCACAGAAGGCAAGGGCAGGGACTGGGAGGATGAAGAACCACCCACTGCAGGAGGTCAGGTTCCAGAACATTTAAGGAACCTCAAGGTACATGAGTCCATGGGAATTCTGAGGGAACCCATGGAAGAAGCAGCTAAGCCACTTCCTGAGAAGTTGTGGCAGTCTGGTGAAAATCCCACTAACTGGAAAAAAAGGAAACATAATCCCCATTTTTATAAAAAATGGAACACCTGGGGAACTCTCAGTGTCCAGTAAGATCATGGAGCAGATCCTCCTCAAAATGATGCTAAGGCACATGGAAAGTAAGAAGGTGATTGGTGACAGCCAGTATGGCTTCACTAAGGGGAAGTTGTGCCTGACAAGTCTGGGGGCCTCCTACAATGGGATTACGGAGTTGGTGGGTAAGGCAAGAGCAACTGATGTCACCTACCAGGGCTTGTGCAAAGCGTGTGACACTGTCCTGCATGACATCCTTGTCTCTAAACTGGCCAGACACGGATTTGACAGGTGGACCAACTGGTGAATAAGTAAATGGCTGAAAGGCTGCACTCAGGAGTTGTGGCCAACAGCTCCGTGCCCCAGTGGAGAGCAGTGATGAGTGTTGTTCCTTGGGGGCTGCCGCTGCTTAACATCTTTGTCACCGACCTGGTGACAAACCCTCAGCACGTTTGCCAACAACATCGAGCTGTGCAGAGCTGCTGGTGCTCCTACCCATGGCAAAGGGTTGAAACTGGATGAATTTTAAGGTCCCTTCCAACCCAAATTGTTCTATGACTCATTCTGTGAATCTTTCAATGCAAATATTGCTTACCTTTTAAAGAAACTGGTACTTACAGTTCCACCTTGGATCATGGATGATATTTTGATCATTAAAGAACAACCAATCTGGATTTGAAAATTTTATAACATATAATAAAAATGCAGAATGTAATATTTTCAGTTTCCTGTTCAAACTGTGATCAGATTCAAAATACCACTTGTGAACAGCTATCTTCTTTCAACTACTGAGTTAACAACCAGGGTCTCTTCTGTGGCAATGTACAACAGATTTCCATAATTACTAGATCTCAGAATATATTTAGATACCAACCACGTCCTTACTTAATTTCTATCATTTGTGTCAAGATTATGAAGTGTTGAAAATGGAACAGGCTGAAATGCTGGGCTGGCAGTTACAGGAAAATATACTGGGGAATACTTGCCCTAAGAAAAAGGTCCACATACTCCAAAAAAGCTTCAACATCTGCTCTCTCATTCTGTCACATACTTGTCTATTATCTACATTTATCCCACATACTCTTCTGTAACAACTGAATCTTCCAAGTGATCCAGAGCTTCATAGCTTTGTGGGAATTCTTCCTGAAACTAAGAAAATTCTTGTACAGAGACAGAGCTAATTATATTTATAAAATCTCACACACTTCCAGAAAGAAAGCTTCCAAAAGACTCATTACTGATTAAAAATAATTTACACATCAGTTCTGATGTTTTAAATCACAGAGTTACCCAAGTCTGAAAGTATTTGAAACATCTCTTGGGTAAAAAATTCCTATTTTTAAACACTTCTGCCCGCAAGCCATCACATAAAACTTCTACAACAGCAGAAAGGACAGTTATGAAATTTTCCTAAAAAAGCAAGCACAGCCTTCTGGGATGACAGCAAACATAAGAAATGTCAGACTAAACATACATTTTTGAGAGAAGATGTAAGCAACTAAGCAGAGCACAGAAGTGCCATCTCATCCTTAAAGAGCATCTGCCCAGTTTTGTTTGGAAAGCCTAAGCTAAACTCTACACCACCAGGATCAGCTCTGCAACCACTACTCCACCTTCTTCCATAAATACACTTCATAGGAGGAGGAGAATAGCTTTGACATTGACTCTGGATTATCTATTCCTTCCCCTGAGATTATTTCTATTTGTTTTGGTTTTGTGGCTTTTTGTTTTGTTAGTTTTGGCTGTTGGTTTTGTTTGGTTGGTTTGGTTTTTCCTTTTGTTTTGGTTGGTTGGTTTTCTCCCCTTACTTCTTGCATTTTAAGATGCATTAGCAATTGCACACCTTAATACATTATGCTGCTGATCACAAGCAGGTGGTAAAACTAAAACTGCCTTGGTTTAATTTGCATAGAAGTGAACAGACATTTATTTGCTCATTTCGTTATTTTAAAAGTACCTTACACTTTTTCATGACTGTTAAAGAGCATTGGAGGAAGAGATCTGTGTGAAGCAGCTACAATTCTGCCATACCAGATGAAGAGGGGTAATATGTCTGAAATATAAAACCACTTGTACACAGGAGGTGTTCTACACTACCAAACTGATGGGTGTTGCAAAGGAAACAATCCATGGCAACCTGCTTCTTGGAAAACCTGTTACCAAACTATATCTGATGAAGCAAGCTGTTTTGGGATGCATGGTGGAAAATACCTTAGTAGTCCCAAAATCTCATTTCCTATTATGAAGTTTTCAAATCCCTGTAAAAGCTAATTCGGTCCATCTTCAGTGTTAGTCATGGTTTTTGAGGAAACAAAATATCCACATTGCCAGCAGACTCTTGTGCATTTGTGAATGGCTCAGTATCTCCGAGTTTTAAAGTGATTGATACACTAATTAAACCTTGTTTTTAAAAATTGTCTTTAATATATTACTCCTTCATAGTGAATTTCAGTCCTTCACTTTCAGTTCTGGAATAAATTGTTGGATATTAGCTGATGGCCACCTAAGATTGCCTGTGGATAACTTTTTTGAGGATGTTAAGTGAGAACATTAGGTGCAAAAAAAGTATGATACCTCTTTTTCTGTGTGATAAAGACATATTTCATCTATTCAGCAAGCTCTACAAATTCCAAATAATATTAGAGACCCTCAGAAGTGACAGATGCAATGAAAGGACAAATCCATGTAATTCAAGATCCCAGCACAGCATATTCAGAAAAATCCATGTGTTCTCTTTACAGAGCTACAGGCAAAGAAGCACATAAAGTCAGCAAGAACATGGCCCAGCCCAAATCATCTACCTTTCTTTCTCGTTTTCAGGTCATTTTATTTGCCAACAAAGGTTGAAAGGAGTGAAATTTGACATAGTGTTACTTGGGACTTTGTTTACAGAATAAGGTTAACTCTAGAGTAAATCATTTTAAGGTAAATCTTGGAATGGGAGAAAGAAAGAACAGTGACAGTGAACGGGGAAGACTGTTAGAAAAAGGTTCAGGTTTGTTTCACAAATAAAACTAGGATGCCTTTACAAAAAGCAATTTTTGAGTGTCAGGGCCATGGAAGGAGTTTCCAAGGCAGCATCCCTCTCCTAACCAGTGGGGCAGGATACAGAGTTCAACTCTTTTCACAGACATTAGTAAGAGAACACTAGAAGCCAGGAGACTAGAGGAGAACCACGGCCACAGAAACAGAAGAAAATGAGCTGAGAAGTGTCTCTCCCATCACACATATACTTGGTTTCTCCATCTGAAAACAATGTTTCCTCTACTGGTACAGCAAGGAACTCTGATTTCAACTCGGATGGCGAAGAGTTCTGGAAATGCACCTCCCTTCATACTTTTTATTTTCCTCCTCTTCTTAATTCACGAAGCAAACATTTGATTTCTTAAGAGTGTATATGTAGCTGTTAACAGCTTCCCTGACACAGAAGAGTGGAGGCTGTTCCAGTGGTGCATCACAAAATGACATTTCTAGTTCACGCACCAGCACACGGAGTTTTATGCTGAATGCTGATGGCTCCTTCTCAGAACTGAAGGCCTATTTTAGCCTCAAAACTGGGACTGCTAATCACAGTAAAGGAAAATTAAAGGCAATTTCAAAGGCG